AATCTAAAACTACCTATGCAAGTGAAAATGCGAGTTGCGGGAAATGATTGAGAAGAGGTCGATGTGATCTCTGGAATAAGAATTTTATTCGTCTGACCCGTTTCTGCTATTGTTTCTGGTGATGGATCCGCGACGGAATCCGAAACGTCAAGCGAATAAATTTCTCGTCCCAGCGACCGCATCTTCTTCTTCTTCTTCTTCTTCTTATTATTATTATTATTATTATTTTTCTTAACTGCCTATGCCTTTCAGAGCAGATAAAAGTACAGAGAAACTTCTTTTTACAAGCACGGCTCCTAGGTGACTTAGTTAACCTTGAATAATCCTTCTTTTAAAGAATATGTCATGGATAGGACGTCAACTAAAATGCGCAATGAAACCTGCATGTTTTAAACTCTCTCAAGGACACCTCGTGGCAACAGTAAGGAGTTGTGTACTTTTTGAATAGACCGAAAAGCTGGGGGGCAGGGTATAATTAACAACAGAAGGCAGAAAATTTAAGTTTGTGATGAATGTTATCGAAAAAGTACAAAATGTGCATGAACGCCCCCGCTCTTTTTTTGAAGTACTGTCCATCTCGCCAGTTCAGTGTTCACCGGTGGGTTTTGTACGAGACACATTTCTGCAACACGCTAGTGTCAAGGCACCTGCGCTCCTGTGTCAAATAAAAATAGTTGCGCAGGTGCATTTGGCTAAATTTACCTACGAATCACAGTATGGCACTGTACTTGTTGTTCGTGCCACGCATTTTCGGTACAGGTCTACAAGCAGCGCACTGTCTTGCCTCTGATGCGATTGGAGCAGCTGGTTTCGCGCACTTGACATGGTTTGCACACAGCCTATCGACCAGGCTCAGGTTGGCTGCTAACTGATTGGTCGGGCTATGCAACCAATCAGGTGGAGCCGGGTTGCATAGGGGTGCCTATCGGGCTCAGCTTTTCGCACAAAGAAAAACAATCTTTTTTTATAGTCGGGTGGTTTCAGAGGGTTTTGGGGACGGATTGTCGG